TTGAGGGAGTACTTGAGTGGAGGCCCAATGTCCTTCTGCTACCTTAATGCTGGGTTCAGATTTAAACCTGCCATTTCGTGGCTAAATTATTCAATTTGTGCCTCCTCATTTAAAATAGGGAGAGTTAAAGTCTCTAATTTTTAAGATTATTGATTCTTTTTTTTATTATTCTTAAATGAGACAGTACATGCAAAAGATTCAACACAGTATATGGCAGTGTTAAAAAGCAACAACAAAGCCAGTTGCTATCAAGTCCATTCTAATTCATGCCAAACCCATGTGTGTTAGAGCTGTTCTTCATAGGGCTTAACAGTGACTGAATTTTCAGATGCTTTTTAATTATTAAGGGGCCCTGGTGGTGTATTGGATTGCTTGTTGGGCTGCCTACCGAAAGGTCAGCAGTTTGAATCCACCAGCCACTCTGAGAGAGAAAGATGAGACTTTATGCTCCCATGAAGATTTACCGCCTTGGCAACCTACTGGCGACAGGTCTACTCTGTCTTCAAGGATTGCTTTGAGTCAAATTTAACTCGATAGCAGTGGGTTTGGTTAATTATTGTCTTCCCCAGTCAGAGTTTTTTATTTTAAGAAGCATAGGCGTAAAGCACAATACCAAGAAATAGGGATCTACACTTTCCACACAACTTTTATAGACTTACATTAGTATCTGAAGTAAGTTGATACTACTTAATATAAATCCCACTGCATCGGAGAGTTAAGCTTGTTTTGTGGTAACATGAAGATAGTGTCGTAATAGTACTATAAGGATACATAAAAACACTGTTTTTATATGTCTCTGTCATACGTCATTCTTAAGTTTTGCATAAGCAGCCCATTTAGCACCTATTAAGGATTTTGGATTGGTGTTTATGTGTTTCTCTACCTGTTAAGCACTTTCAAATGTTCTCACCTAGGATAAACAGTCATAGTAAAAAAAAAAAAATAATAGTAACACTGCTAAGCTAGTCACTGCCCCTGCCCTCCTCTACCCATGTTTTCAGAGCAAGCTTCCCTACCAGTTGAGTGAAAGTAAACTGAATGTAAGCAGAATGAGCTGTAATCCAGATGTACCTGGAAGGACATAAATCCACCTGGTTGTGCTTGTCTCTGATTTCACTGTCGAGTAGGTCTTTGCAGTTGACTATTTCTACTCTTTTTCTATTTTAGTGTGTTAGCACTATTGCTTTATTTTAGAAATTAATGGGTTCTTATAAGCTTTGTTTGACATACCACTGTGATGTGAGAAAGTGAATTATCTCTATTTTCAGGACAGATTTCTGGGATATAAGGATACAAAATGTCTTGCTTGCCTAAACAAAGTTCCCTATAATGTGTTTTTTTAATATACATATTTCATACTGACCCTAAATTAGACCTAGACTTTGCAGTGTGATCAGGACCAGAAGATAGCCTTTTTTGAGAACTTCTGGATTAGTATAAGGAAGCCTTCTGGTGGTACAGCGTTGAGCCCTTGACTGCTAACAGAAAAATGTCAGCGGTTCAAACCCACCAGCTGCTTCCTGGGAGAAAGATAAGTGATCATTTGTTTCTATGAAGATTCGCGGCATTGGAAATCCTACGGAGCAGTGTTACTCTGTTGAACAGGGTCACTAGGAGTCAGAATGAACTCAGCGGGAGTGTGTGGGATGATAATATTTTTCTTCATTGGTAAATTTGGGTGCAGCAATAAGGAAGGTGACAGCTTAAACAAAGTTAGTTGTAAGAACATACATTGAGAAAAAGTAATACTGAAAGAAGT